ATATGCCGCATTAGATAAATCCTCCTTGTACAAATTTAATACCGTCTGGGATTAGTTGGATGCGTGGACGTAACCCGGCCACCATTCTACGCTAATGCCCTGATGCATAAGCTATAATGGCACGCGACGCAAACTAACGGCCTATTAAAATCAACCCCCCTTACTTGCCCTTTTTCAAATGCCTCCAAGACGTTCAAATCTCGCGCGAATTTTTAAATCCCCTCAAAATATAATTATAAAAAGTTATTCTCTACTCTTTTTTACTTTTATCCGTACAATTTCTTATAATGGTAGAAATCAATCATAATTTTTAATAAACATAGACGGAACAATTTCCCGAATTTTTTCCTTCATCAAATTTAAATTCAATTAATATTTCGACTCGAAATTTAATTTTTTTTTTCCTTTTATAGGCAATTTTTCTTCCTTTTTCCCTACCTTTTCACTATTAATTAAATCGATCACGTTGTTATACGAACAAATTTATCAAAATCTTCGAATGATTGAGCCGCGTATAATTCTACGACAGAGAGAGAGAGAGAGGAAAGGGGGGGGGGGTGGTGTTAGACTCGCGCGACTGGTTTGGAGGGGGAGCAGGTCGATAAAGTGTCAAAGCGTGGACGAAAGGCGTGCCAGCAACTTTTCAACAGCCTGTATTTTGTTCACCGTCGAGACTTTCCCCGCATACTTTACCCGCACGGGAGGATTTGGCGGGCAAGAATTTAGGATAAAGGCTGATTTACACGTGCCACGAAACTCCGCTCGACGGCCCATCGATCCCAGGATTTCCTCGAAACGTATCTCTCTGCTCCTATAAACTCGACCCGCAGGACAGGATTCCGTCACGCGGCCGAAGTTGCAAAGTGGATGCGAAAATATCGCCCTCCCGAATTGCGTCGCAGCGTTAAAAAATGCGACGACGAACGAACGTTCGAAGAATTTTCCACGATTTTTTCGCGCGAGGAGGAGAGAAAAGAAACGAGTCGATATCTCTAGTTGTCCTTTCGTTTGAGAAATTTTTTGGGCAGGATTAGGATAAGGAAGACTTTATTTTGAAACTATTTTCGTTTCGTTGGAATTATTTGTTATTTCGATCAACATTTTCGCGTAATTAAATAAACGATTACAAATACGATTCAAAATAAAGAAGAATCGATACACGTTTTCTTTATCTCGAATGAATAAAGTTAAAAGTAAATGATTTTTATTTATATATATATATATATTTATCATTTTCATCCATCCACAAAATTTCTGTGAAAATGACAGTGGTCCTCGCTCGGTTTCTTAAAGGATAATGAAATAAACTGCGTGGCGATGCTATTTCAAAGGATTAGATATTTCCATCCAGTTTGCAAAGCGAAGTGATCTCTGAAGGAAATATAGCAAGAATCATGGTGAATAACGGGGCTTTTGTAATGGAAGCTCTTGGAAAAATATTGGAGGGGATACTCGAGATGAATTTAATAAAGAAAATTTTGGTATTGTAATGTTGGTTCAGTCTTCGGCTTATATATATATATATATATCTCCAGTGGATACAAGATACAAAGTGTTTTCGAAAGGGTGGATAAAAGTTTGGTTAGTTAATTCGGGAAGAAGGGTGGTGGCTTTGACGTTTATCTTGCTAAGGGGATTTCGAATAATCTTTTCAGAATTTTTCCAGAATTCATAGGATTTTCGAATCCTCGAAATTGTTTTAGTCGGGTAGGTAGATTTTTTTGCGTTAAAATTGAAAAACATTGATTGATTACATTACGTTTTGTTTCGTACACTATATAATTAATGGAGAAAGTGTAAAAGTTTTTACAGTCGATATATATATATATATATGTTCGGTGAACTTATATTAACGATACATCAAATAGTTGAGAAATCTAAGAAATAGTAAGAATTTGCAGGATTAGATTAGGATTAGTTAGATACTTTTCGTATTTTTAGACGATAAATAAATATATAAAGTAGAAAATGTTGCTCAAAAAAATATTGATTCAAACGAAGATAAAATTATATATTCAAAAGGGAACTAATATTTTAAATTCCATAGACATTTTTCAACCCTCTCATGACGGTTTATTCTGGCTTAATTGAACGGATGTTTACACAAAATCGGCGAGTACACAACATCGAAAGGATTCCGAATAATCAAAATCTATCGATACTCTACTTCAAAATGATAGATGATAGATACACCTGAAAAAAAGAAAAAAAAGGGTTGGAGAAAAAACACGCGTCAGCTTTTCAACGTCATAACGATGATCGCGTGCAAGCGACAATAATTCCACCAGCCGCCCTCTCTTTTTCCATAAAACTCTTTCCGTTCATCCCTTCGATTCAATAATTGCACCAACCTGATCCTAACAAAACGTACGCGAAATCAAAAACCTCGAATACACGCTCGAGGTATCCTCGATCCGATCCATTTACCCTGCTAATCCTCACTCGAATCACGGAATCGACGATCGACGAAAGTTTACCTCTCCGAGACGAATCCGCAAGAACAGAATCCGCATCTCTTCAAGATTCGATATTAACGAGAAGAAGAAGAAGAAAGAAGGAGAAAGCAGCGTTTAAATATTTATCCGGAGGGATCGAATTCGTTCGACAAACTCCTTCTCGAGACGGCGAATTCCTTCGACGAATTTTCACGCTTCGTTTCCGAAATGCGTGCGAGAGGGGTTGGTGGGAGGAGGGGGTTGATGAAAGGGCTGCTGCGGAAATATGCAAACGCGTCCCTTGGGGCATCAGCTGTATGAATTACGACCCCGCCGCATATTATTGTTCCTAGTTTCGTGGGGGTGGGGAGGGGGTGGGGAAAAACTCATTCGACGCGTGCAAAGCGGGGCTAAAAAGCGAGTCGACGAAAAAAAGAAAAGAAAAAATATCGGCGACGATATCGCCTCGATCGCGATATAAACGATTCTTTTTTTTCTCTGCTTGTGAGGGCCTGTGAAGGGAGATGTTAATTGCGCGCTCGAGATTACCAAGACCAAGAAAAGGGGAGATGTTACTGTACCAGGCTGTTACCGTTTCACCCTGCCTTCTATCACAATTATTCTGGAGGATCGAAGGGGCAGGTTGCTCGATGACGGATTTCGTTCGTTCTGGAACTGCTAATTTGTCGGATGATAATGGGGCAGGTATTGCGGTGGCAGTTTGTCTGGTTTATCGATTGCTTGCCCAAGATGGTAATTAGGGCTCGAGCACCGGTGCTAATTGTTCGCGCAATTTCCGGAAAGGATGGACATGTAAGTTTTTTAAACATCGTGGAGGGATTGTTTTTTGAAAGTATTGAAAAGATGGATGACTAATTGTGTAATAAGTGACGAGTGTAACGTCATGAGATAGATAGATGCGAGAGTGTCTTCTGCATCACGTAATTTGTATTAATATTTTAGATGATTTAATATCAGAAACGAAGTTATGCTTTTAATATTTAATATGAGTCGCGATAGCTGCGTATCATGTACAAATGGGGCGATAGCAATGTTGTTGAACAAAATTTTCCTAATACGATGATAGATTGAAAACATTGGATTGAATCTTTTTAAATAATTTATTACAGTAAACAAGTTTACCGAGTCCCACGAAAAAGCTCGCTTTTTGTTTTAACAATCGAAATAAATGCTAAAAAATCGTTTTCCCTGATAAATAAACCAATATAATCAACGTAAAAATCACTTTACCATTGTTTTCACAATTATATTCTTCTGTTGTTTCCAGTCGCGGTATCCTTGTTTTTTAATGACCAATAAAAATTGAAGAAAAGCAATAAAATTCCTAATTTGCAAGAACGGCTATTAAAATTAACGACACGATCGAAATTGGCAGGTTTGAAAATTACGCGAAACCCTTTTATCCCGCGCGAATAACAAGGCCGCCGTGCGTGGTCCGGTTAATTTTGAAGTATGCAACCCTTGCTAACTAGCGCGTCCGTGATAACACGGCCGCTTCCACTTCGAATTACGTGAATTCAACCGTGTGATGCTTGTTTATTCCAGAAGAAGCGGCAGATAGCGGTTACACCGCCATTAACGAGACCGCGGTATTGCGCGCTTATTCACGCATAAACAGTTAACCTCGTCCAACTCAGACGAGGGTTGGATTATCATGGACCGGTTGAAACATTTTTTAACCGATTAAAAAATTTCGAACGAACTTAGAGAATCGAGTAATTGGTTAAAATTCGTTTATTACGCGGCTACGATACAGTTGATCTTCGTATAGCCTCGCCGATTATTTGTATTATTATGCTTTTCAACGATAAATAATTGAAGTTGAACTTTAACTTCATATTAAATTTATATATAATATGATTAGTTAAATCGTTGTCGAGGATATTTTTTCTTCTTTTGTTGGAGAACAGAAGCAGTAACGTGAGAAGTGTGTCGAGTGAAGACGTTGGAAGGATTTTATGTATTAATTTTTAAGATTTTTAAAAGAATTTTGGATATTGGATTTGCGTGGAAACATATTGTAAATTTTTCACTTGGATGGATTAAAATATTATACATAAATTAATAAAAATAGACAATCGAAAAAATACATTTATTCGATTAAGGAATTTATAACAGTATATCGAATCTCCTTAAGAACAATCTCCGTAGTTGAAAAAATAAAAATAAAAGAAAAAGACCGATATATACAAAGAAAGAGAAACATCGCCATATTTTCCAATATTTTTTTTTTTTCTTAACTAATCGCAACATTATTCATATTCATAAATTCAAACTTCGCAGCACAAAACACGAATCGAAACACTGCTATTCCACTATTCTATTCAAAACTAACTCTGGTACAAAATGTGTTTCTAATGAACGGATTAGAAAATTTCTCGATCGAGAAAGATAAGAGGAGCAAACAAAACAGATGTTTTGTTAAACGTGTTAATTCTCCAAACAACATCTTCCAGCCAATTCTAGAACCTTTGATCCGCGTGTCATCATCGAACGTCTCAGACGATTAAAATGAATGATAAAATTCTGAAAGAAGGAGCTCACCTTCGTACACCCAATCCGGCACCCCGTTGTAAATGGTCCCGACGACCCCGGTGTCCGTGATTTGATAGTCGAGGGCCACTTCCGCTTCCGGCCTGTAATAGATGTTGTTCTGGTACACGTAGACCAAAGCGTTGCCGCGTGGCGCCCACGTTGCCAGTTGAAGAAAAACCGAATCGTTCCCCGGCAACGAGCTCTCCGATCTGGAAATATTAATCGACTCGAATCAAAATAAATTTTCTTTTCGATTTTTGGATCGAAAGATTTTGTACGAGACCGATGAAGCATAGTTTTGAGAGAAGAGTGGATCGGTCAGGAATAATTTGGGGATTATAGCTCGACTATAATCGAAGATAGATATTCAATAAGCGATTCGAATGATGCAGATTTTTGGATATTGTTTTTTTATGTGAATGGAAAAGGAAAATGAGTATTGGATTGCGAACTAGATATGTGATTTATTCGTTAGTGCATTATTATTAGATAGAAAAGAAAAATATTTTAGTTAATTAGAAAGTTTATTATATTCAATTTCGATTCAATTAATATTAATTCTCGCAATCGATTCAATTCTTTTCGAAGGTATGTTATAATATTCATAATTAAAGTTCTGGAGATACGTGTGGGAATAATATTCATTGAGCTAATTAAATAATTATGTAACGTGATCTTGTCGTATTAACAGAAATAATATTATCATATATGTTTTAACGTAACAATAGCGTGTCGAACGATTATCCTATACTAATTTTCGTTAAGAATATTTTAATTTATACGTAACGTGTATAAAAGATACTATTGTTTATAAATAACCGTAAAATAATCCATATTGTTGTGAAAAGTGAATTAGCAGACAAGACAGAGTTAACAGGTTCTGAAGCTGCAGAGCGCTTCGATTCAAGTGCAACTTAATCGTGGAGGAAATCTAATACTTAATAAGAGCCTTATGAAATTAAATCCTAAACGGATCCGAATAGATCTGGGTATTTTGGTATCTACATCGATACTTGGCGTATCGTATAATTTCGTTCAACGTGCAATTATTCATGGCTTAACCTCCCTGCTTATTTAATCGACCAGGTTATTCTCCGATCTTGAATAATACTATTAATAATTACATCGACGAACTAGAAGATTCGAATTTTATTTCGAATAAACTCGAATCTGAATAGGACGGATTCGAACTCCTTGCGAATTTCGAAACGAAGAAAAAGGATGAATCTTGTTAAAAATCCTTCTCGTTCTCGTTGAAACGTGTCTTCTTTGGATTATCTTTCACGATAACAAATGTCTCGTCTCATAAAAATCGTCACATAATTAGATATTTCCCTTTTCAAACTTAGTCTCAAGTTCTGCTTCCCAAGGCTTCGACGAAGTACGCTTGATCATAACACAAAATCGATTCCATTCGCGTAAACGGATTTACGTAAGCAGCTGCAACACGTTCCAAAAGGATCGACTATCCCGAATCATTGCGCGATCGAATCCTCCGCGAATCAAAAGCCATCGAATTACAAAGCCGCCCTATACCTCCATTCCAATCCCATGAAACGAATCATTCGCGTTAAATTTGATTTATATTCGCGATAGATATATATATAAAAGCGCATATCCCTATCCTACGTAGAACACGATGCTCTTACCATATTCGAGCCGTTTCGAGGATATTAAGACGGTTCGCGATCAAGACGTGGATGGAAGGTGGTGGATAGAAAGGGAGGAGGAGGAGTGGAGAAATAGCGTCGTTCGGGATTCCGTGCCCTCAGGGCCGATAAAACGGCGAGAGATATAAATGGACGAGGATTCTTCGCAGTAACAAGCAGCCATTCGATCCCACATCACATCCGATCGGAATTGCACCGTAAGGAAGTGAGAGCCGCGCCGCGATACGAGAAAAAACCGACTTTCGGTCGCAAACAGGGACTCGACACGCGCCCTCGATGTCGCATCCTCGAATGGCGAGGAAGGGGAGGGGAGGGGAGATCCTTATTATTCCAACGGCAGGCATATAAAAGCTACTCGGACGCAGAAAGCGGAGCGCTATATCCGTCCAGATTACGGATATGGAAACGATCCAAAGGTAGTTACGCGAGTTGTGAACGCTTCGAGTCTCCCTAATGGCGGGAAATTCGAATCGTTTTCGAAGTGGCGGGAAATTCGAATCGTTTTCGAGTCTTCCAAATGGCGGGAAATTCGAATCGTTTTCGAAGTGGCGGGAAATTCGAATCGTTTTCGAGTCTTCCAAATGGCGGGAAATTCGAATCGTTTTCGAATCTTTGAAATGGCGGGAAATTCGAATCGGTTCGACTCGAAGCTTGAACGAAAGTTTTGAAAGCGTGGATTGTCGTTTGAAAATTTGAATCGTCTTGGAAATTGTTTGAAAGTATTTATTATTCTGTCTCACTTGGGCTGCCCATTCCTCGTTCCTATTCTTACGATGCATCGTAGAATAATGGCAGAATTGGACTCAATCAAAAATTCCAAATTATCGATCAAAAATCCCTTTTGACCAATATCTAACATCCTGAATATTAAATGTCATTTAAATCGTTTCGAAATATAGGTTGAAGCTAAACCTATGAAGTTTGGATGTTTCAGTTCTTTTCACTTTGCTTTCGAGAAGATTTTTTAAGATTGTTCGATCAAGGTTTCGAAATTTATTTATATCTGTAACGTGATGCTAATTCGAATCGATTCGAGGCGATCCGAATCGATTCGAGGCGTCACTGTCCCCAAAGATAGTCGCAGATCCCTCGTTTCAATCGCAGTCCCGCCAACAGCTTGATTAATATTTATCCGGATCGTTGCTCGATTCGTCCCATCCCTTTTATTTATACGCAGGTCTTGCTCCACCCATTCGACAACGTCACGATCGTTCGTCTAATTGAATGGGAGGAGTCGCTCTGCCGATTCTTCGTCACGATGGAATACATTTCCTGAAGGGATGCGCTCGATGGATCTATCGCTTCGAGTGGTGCTTCCTTTTTCTTCTCTCTTCTCTTCTTTTACGAATCCAGTGTTTTACGAGAACGTAGAGCTTCTCCTCCTTTGCGTAGCCCTCGAATATTCAATGCCCTTTGCTCCCCAAATTATGGCAAGTTGATTAAATTGCCGAATCGAATTTTTTAGCAAGCTTTACTGCCCGTTGTATATTGTCAGAATCTTCGATTTCGGGTAAACGTGGAAAATAAATTGTTAGGAAGGCAAGTTGTTGAAGAAGAGATTTCTTGATTATTTTTGAAAAAGAAGTCTTGGTTACTTTAAGAAAAGAAAGTATCGTTATTTTTCTGTCGGATATAATGGATTAGATTCGGGTTGTATACTCTAGCATATATTAATTCCTTTTTAAGAAAAGTATCCTGACGGTTATTATATTCATTTTGTAATTTTTACCTTATATTTTAACTCGATTTTGTCTAACGGTCAAGCGTAAATATTTAATAAATTATTTCCTGTAGGATAAAATAGAATATTTAATTATATATATATATGTGTGTGTGGAAAATTATACAGAGTGTTCCAGAAATCGATCGACAAGATTTAACTGGTATAATTCTTGAGATGAATTCAAACAACTTTTTCCTTTGCTGGAAATTTGGCTTTGTTGACGAGCTATTAATGAAAAGCATTGGCCAATCGCCCTGTGGCGGTAGCGTTGGGTATGTGCTGCCGTCGAGCATTCGAACAATTAAAGCAACGTGTATCGAAACTAGTTAGTTCATTTATTGCTTTCTGAATAATATATAATTCGTTATAACTTTTGTTTAATAAATATTCGGTACATTTGCTTCAACATGTTTGAACGAATCGGTATAGAACCAACGTTACTGGCAACGACAAGTTGACATACTTGCGATTGGTTAAAAACTCATTAACGAAGTTGAAAAAGAAATTTTCGCAAAGTTGTTCGAAATCATTTCAAGAATCGTTAACTTCTTTTTGATCGATTCTACAACATCCAGCATATTTTTAATTTTACTTTCTCGATAAGTTAAAATGAGTTAAGATAAAGTTAAAATGGATTACAATTAGATTAAAATATAATAATTGCCGAGTGAGCAGTTCGAATAAATTTAGAACAAATTAAATTATGCCAAAATTGATAAAACAATTATTTGATTGACTATTTAAGAGATAAATTTTTTTGTTACTTAAATCAGCGTGCAATTTTATTCTGTCCATGACGAAAACCAAGTATTTCAATTTCGAGGAATCTTTTTTTCTTGTTAAATATAACTTTGTAATAGAAAAACTTTTGTTTTACGATTGTGTAAAATCTCCTTAAAATTTCATTCATTAGTATTGTTGTCCAGAGTTCCTCTTACCCCTTGTTCTTTTATCAAGATGAAAATTATCCTTTCTTTATCTTTGTTTCTTTCATCTACGTGAAAAAAAAAAATCTTAGAAATTCAGATCCCACTTTCCATCGATGATAATATAAATTATATTTATATTAAAATTAAAGATATAAAAACATATGCAGAATTTAGATATTGCAACGACACCTAATCTCTTTTCTGGACATCGAGAAATTATGAAATCAATAAAAATAACACGTCAGAAATACATTATTAATCAGGCGATTTGTTCTAATCTAATTTTTCTAATTCCATGTTTCTTTATATTTATATATATTCCAATCCAACTATATTATTCATGCTCACCACTGTCTTTCATATTATTCTAGAGACTTCTCCTCTAAAAAAAAAAAAATCCTTTACGTTTCATCGAGCGTACAAGCAACGTTGTTTCAGTAAAAATTATCAAAATTTCCTTGAAAAAAAATTCATAAATAAATAAACCAAATCGACTTTAAATTCATTTAAACGAGATAACTCGAGCGAGGCAATATCGATCGGCCGATTGATAGATCGGCTTGATCGAGAATATCCTTTAATATCTATAATGAGCAGGCGTGAAAAGGTATGGGCAGAATTCGCTAATGGGGTTTCAAAGGTGACTACGGTTAAAGGGAATCGATGCGTTCATGCAGAGTTAAGTAATAAAGAAGGTTGAGCGAGCGCGTTACATTATTTCCCTTTTAAAATTGGATCTGCATGCCGACGAGATGCGTACGCCGTTGTTAAACTCGGCTGAAATTAAATGGCGGCTTAAGGAATTTACTGTTTTAAGAACTCGAACAGTATTCGAGTTTTTATCCTCGATCCGACTGTGCAACCGACTGAAAAAACATTGGCGAATA